CATATGTCTTTTTCTTTGTGTTATTAATGTAATGGGACTCTTTGAAGAGGTAGCCTGGGTTTGAATACCTGTTCCACTACCTTGGGCAAGTTATTTAAATAAACTCTTGATGCCCTTGTTTCCTTTAAATTGGAATTATAAAATGTATCTCTAGAGTTGACCAGGATTAAGTGAGCTAATATTTGTGAAATATTTAGAACAATGCCCATGATTTACAAATGTTATCTGAGTAGTATTTTAAAATTAAATAAACAACCTACTTTTTTTTCCTTAAACCAGGGTTGAACCCAGGGGCACTCAACCTCAACCACTGAGCCACATCCCTAGCCCCTTTTTCTATTTTATTTAGAAGCAGAGTCTTGCTGAGTTGCTGAGGACATTGCTAAATTGCTGAGGGTGGCTTTGAACTTGTAATCCTCCTGCCTCAGCCTCCTGAGTCACTGGGATTACAGGTGTGGTGGCATATACCTGTAATCCCAGTGACTCCAGAGGCTGAGAGAGGTGGATCACAAGTTTAAGGCCAGTTTCAGCAATTTAGGAAGACCCTATCTCAAAATAAAAAATGAGCTGGGCATGGTATCGTACACCTGTGATCCCAGTAACTTGGGAGGCTGAGGCAGGAGGATCACATATTCAAAGCCAGCCTCAGCAACTTAGCAAGGCCCTAAACAATTTAGCGAGGCCCAGTGTTTGAGCTCCCCTGGGTTCAATCCCTGGCACCAAAAATTAATTAATTTATTAACTAATTAAAAATAAAAAAGCGCTGGGGATGTGGCTCAAAATACATGAATACACACATACACACACACATATAATTTATCGTGACACTTTTTCTGTCATGTGGGTGTGTCATGAGTTATTTAAGTATTCCCTTTTATTCTTGGTTTTGTTCTTTTCATTTTCTCACTATTACAAATAAAGCTGTGGTCAGCATCTTTCTTGTACATAAGCATTTACCTATGTGTTCACATTTCCTTAAGGTAAATTCCTGTAAGTAAAATTATTACATACAGCATACATGTTTTACAAGTATTTTTTACACCTATTGCCAAATTGCCATTTAAGCTATATACCTCCAGCAGCTCAGGAGTCTGAGGCAGGAGGATCATGAGTTCAAAGCCAGCCTCAGCAACTTAGCAAGGCACTAAGCAACTCAGTGAGACCTGTCTCTAAATAAAATACAAAATAGGGCTGGGGATGTGGCTCAGTGGTTGAGTGCCCCTGAGTTCAGTCCCTGATACCAAAAAAAAAAAAAAAAAAAAAAGCTGTACCAGTTTATACTCAGGGTAAAAACATTCATGAATGTTGAATGTTGGTTTTATTGTAACTTTACTAAAACTGTATTGTTTAAAAAATTAAAAAATAATCAGCCAATTTACCTAGTAAAGTTTCTCTTACTCGCTTTGTTTTGTTTTTGTTTGGTGCTATGTAGTAAACCCAGGGCCTCCAACATGCTTGATACTCTCTACCACTGAGTAACACCTATCTTGTTTTAATTTGAATTTCTCAAACTGTTTTTGTTTACCATTTTAATGTTTTATGACCTCTTTTAATATCCTTTTTTCCAATTTCACATTGGATGTTTGACATTTTCTTTCTGATTTGTAGTGGTAGATGAGTCATTTTCTGTATATTATAAAACTTGTTTGTTTCTTGTAGCCTTTAATCTTGTTTGCGGTGTTTTAGGACACATATTTCAAACTTTATGTAATAAAATCCTTTAGCTTTATTTTTCTTTATTTTTTTTTTACCTTTGATATTAAGCTTAGAAGTTGACTGTTCATGTTTTGTGAATATCATTACATCTTATGAATATAAATATTCACCCACATTGTATCTGAGCATCTTTAATTTGTTTGGAATCTGTTAGCTGAATGACTTGGGAAGTCTAACTTGATTTTTTTAAAAAACCAAAACCATTAAGCATTTACTAATTTATTGAAAACTTTATACTTTCCTCAGTGATTCAAAATGCTGGCCTTACCTTCTGTATACTTTGGCATATTTGAGGGGTTTGTTCTACTTTATTGTTATACTTTTTTTTTTTTTTTGTACCTGGGATTGAGCCCAAGGGTAATTAACCACTTACCCACATCCCCAGCCTTTTTTATATTTTATTTAGACACAGGGTCTTGCTAAGTTGCTGAAGCTGGCTTTGAACTCGCAATCCTCCTGCCTCAGCCTCCTAAGCCACTGGATTATAGGTGTACGCCATTGTGCTGGACTATTGTTATATTTTGTACCAGTTTTGATACCATTCTAATATTTGAGACTTTAATATCTGGTAATGCCAGAGTTTTCAATTTTTTCTTGGGTAAATTTCCAGTAGATCCTTAGAATACATTGTCAAATTCTAAAGAGGAAACCCAATGGGATTTTGAATCAGATTGCATTTAATTAAATAATAGTTACTGTGCTAACAAGATTTGATTTGGTCATCTTGTATTGAATTATGTATGGTTTTTTAATTTGTTAAATTTATTTACGTCATCCTGTGGTTTGGATGGATTTGGTGTACAAGATTACAGTAATTATGATTTAATATCTTTGTTTCTAATTATTTTGACACAACTTTGATATTTGAATACTGAGTTACTCCCAAAATGTAATACATTTTCATTATATTCTTCTCTTTTGTAACTTTTCCATTTTTCCCAGTCTCCCTATTTGTCTCACTGACTTTATTATGTTTAAGTAATTTTATTTTTTTGTCTTTTAAGATAATACCAGTGATTAAAAAAAAATTGAAGTCAGTCGAATGCCAAGCAAAACAGAATTTTCTAGACACTGCTATTTGTACATTAACATCTTTACTTAGTTGGAATAAAAATGACTGACTTGAGCCAGGAGTGGTGATACATGCCTGTATTCCCAGTGAAGGCTGAGGCAGGAGAATCGCCAATCCAAGGCCAGCCTCAATAACTTTACAAGGCTCTAAACAACTTACCAAGACTGGCTCAAAATAAAAAGAGCCGGTGATGTGGTTCAGTGGTTAGGCACTCCTGGATTCGATCTCTGGTAACAAAATAATAGTAATAATAAATTTTTAAAAAATTTTAATAACCCAGTTGAAAATCTGTTGCAAATAAAATTCTTGGTGTGGAAATCTAAAAGTTAAAATTTCTTGTCCTTTATTTAACAACAGTAACAACAGAAGGGTTATTATACTAGCCTTACAGACTATAATCAGTGTGTTTCTTGTCTTTATTTTAAAACTACCGTAATGAATATAGACTGTCATCTCCTCATCTCCTGTCTTTTGGGCTGTAGCCTTGCTAGAATAAACATTTTCAGATTTTATGTATTGTGATATATACATTATCTTTTACTTGTACATTTTCTCTCTCTCCATGAGTTTTTCATTTCCTGTCTTAAGAGACCTAATAGATACATATATAAGCTTTGAACTGTGGCTTCTCAAATATTTTAACCTTCAAGTGTCTTGACAATTATTTGAATAAAAGTGTTTATTTCTTAAGCTGACTCACCAAGCTCACGTAAAGCCCTTTGATAAGTGACAGCCTTGCTTTTCATAGCTACCTCCTCTGGGTGGTTAGTGGAGCCTGTCTCACCTGGATCAGTTCAGAGGGTTTCAGTGCTCTGTTAACAGTTGTGGCTTATTGGTCCAGGTCACTTCAACAACCCCCGTTTCCTTCAGAGGATATAATGCAGCTCGTACAGGCTTCTTCATTCTTCACTGAGTTAGCTGATCATGATGCAGTTATCTTCAGACCTTACTATAATAGCTGTCATGTGTATCTCTGTTTTACTGGTTTTACCTAGCTATGTCTGTCAGTTATTGCTAGCAGACTTTCTTCAGCCTACATAGTATTATAAATTTTGCTCATTAGCTTTAGCTTTATTCCAGTGAAACCTCTTCCTCTTATCCTTTTCTCTGCAGCTGGATAATTGCCTTTTTTCCCTTGGAGCTGCAGTTCTGTGTCTGTTCCCATCATTTCTTTTCTCCATAGGGTCATTGCTGTCTTGTGAGCTCCAGGTCTTGGATGATCTGATGAATTCTCTCTCCCACTTCTTTTCCATATAAATTTCTTGGCTTAGCTTCCTGCTTGATTCTAAATGTTTGTCTCTTGAACTTTGATTCCTCCTTCTCTGTCATTAGCAATGTCATCACTGTCTCTTTCCTTTCTTCTCCATGTACTCAGCTTTTAGGCCAGATTTCTCACACTTCCCCTATCAAATAGCCTTTAGAATTAGATTGTTAAGCACTTATAACCAAAATAGTTGTGAATTTGGGGGCTGTGATTTAATATTTTAAATTGTATATGTTAGGGGCTGGGATTGTGGCTCAGCGGTAGAGCGTTCACCCAGCACACGTGAGGCGCTGGGTTCAATCCTCAGCACCACATAAAAATAAAATAAAGGTATTGTGCCCAACTATAACTAAAAAAAAATTTTAAAAAAATTGTATATGTTATAGTGTTTGGACTCAAACTGGAGTTAAAGATGCACACAGAGACCCTCTTAATGTAGCAAGACCCTCTTGTGCAGCAAGACCCTCATGGATTTTGGACCATAGCTTCATGAGCCAGAGTGTCATGAGCATACTGAAAATTCAGAATCAGCCACTAGCATGTAATGCTAGTTCTGTATTTAATCAGCTCTAAAATAATTTTCACATTTATGATTAAGATATGTATTATAGTTGACAGTCTGTCATAATTTAATTGGCCAAATATTTTCCTTCTGAGAAACACATAAAATAATGATATATCTGAACATTGATGATTCTTAGATTTGATGAAATACAGTAATGATAATAATAAAAATTTTTGTAGATGCTTTATTTATATTACCTCATTTGATCCTTACACCATCTATAGGAAGTAGTGATGTTGAGTTGAAATGAAAGCATAGAGAAGTTCAGTGAGTGAGTATTGGAGTTGAGATTTTAACCCAAATAACAAAGTTGCTCTAGAGCTGCCATGTTAACCTTCCTCCCACAGTATGCCTCTCATAACAGTTTCTTCCACCTCTTTAAGGCATCGTTGGCTTCACTGTATGACCGATGACCCTCCAACAACAAAACCACCTACTGCTCGAAAATTCATTTGGACAAACCATAAGTTCAACGTGAGTGGCACTCCAGAACAGTATGTACCTTATTCCACCACCAGAAAGAAGATTCAGGAATGGGTCCCACCTTCAACACATCACAAGTAAAGACAGTGAAAATCGGTTTCAACATGTAACATATGGGACTTTTCATGAATTTGCACTTTTCCTGCTTACCATTAACTTGAATAAAATTGTTTGATCAAGTAGTGTCTTTTGTGCCTTTTTGCCCTTAACTCTGTCATTCATTTCTTAACTTTGTCATTCATGAACTGCAAAATAGGAGCTTACCAGCGTAGGTAATTAAAGTAGATGTCAGATAGGTGGCTGCCTGGTGTAGAGTTCCCCATTTTCTGAAAACAGCTCCAGTGGTTGTGTTTGTGCTTTGTTATTTACTTAGTCATTACCTTTACTGCATTGCTGGCTGATAGGGGAAGACTGACACCCAAGCTGAGCCAAGCAGATTTTCTCATGGAAATTTAAAACTTAAATGGAGAGACAGAAAGACAGAGACTTTAGAACTGTGTGGCTTTTTTTTTTTTTTTTTTTTAAGATGCTTTTATTGTAGCTCTCTAAGGAGAAGGTCATCAGACATTTCCTCTTTCCTGGGTTTGGGTTCTTTAACATTTTATTTTAATCTGTGAATTATCTCTGGCTCCAGTCCAATATATTCTTATTTCTTTGAGGGAGAAATCCAGGCATCAGTCATTTTTAACTGCCCACCCATTTGCAGCTAAGGTTGTGAACTACTAAGCTGAAGAAGTCAACATCCAAAAGCAGTTCAGAAACTCTTCTGTAGTCATAAGAAGCAATAGTTGCTCACAGCCTTATCCAGACTTTATATCCCATACCCAACTGGATCAGGCTGAATTGTATCTCAGGAGATACTATATTCATTGTGCTGTTTTGGGCAGCTGTCTGCAGTTTGCTGTTGGCTAATGTAACATAGAACCAGACACTAAAAGGCAGCCAGCCTGTGCTGGATTGAGATTTCACATGCTCTGTTAATCTACCATTTTACCAACTCCTCTGTCAAGGCCCAAAGCATTGTTTTGTAATGTCACTAGAAATAAATTGACAAGACAAACTTGTGAATAATTAGAAGTTCTTAACCCTTGATTCAAGGACTACTATAATAATAAATATAGGTACTACTATAATAATAGATAAGGCCCTTCCACCCAGCCACTTTCTCAAGTGAGGTGTACTTGGAAAATAGAAATATTCCCATTTTTTAGTTAGAACTAATTTGGGGGTGGGATTGAAAGTACTATGGCCAACTGGTCAGAACAGAGGCTTAAGGGAGATGAATAGAGTTTGAACCCCATTTCACTATAAGCCTGATGGTACAGTGAACACATACATACCTCTATCTCACAGTTTATTTCCTCAGAGTAGAAGTGATGGACATCCTTTGCAGAATCTGAACATTGGCTCCCTGCTCTGAGGAGTAAGTGTCCCTGTGGTAGAAGGGCCAAAGGCAAGTCAGGGAAATGTTCCCTCCTCTTGTGGTTTGGATACAGCTTGAGGGTGTCCCCCAAGGGTTTTTGTGTTAAATTTGAATCTCCATTGTTAAGTATTAAGAGAGTAGAAACTTACTGTGACTATGATGTCTAGAGGTCGGGTCTTTAGGAGGTGATTAGGAGTTAATAAGGCCATCAGGGTGGACCCCCATGATTGTATCTGGTTGCTTTATAAGGAGAAGGAAAGAGGCTAAAAGGGATACGTCTGCAAGCTTCTTGGCTATCCCTCCACAAGCTTCTTGGCTGTGCCCTCCACTACCAAACACGAGCAACGCTGCAAGCAAGAAGCCAGCAACAGATGCTGTCCATCTACCTTAGTAGAGCTGTGAGCCAAAATAAACCTCTTTGCTTTATAAAGTTACTCAGCAAAGAATTGACTAATATGCCTTGCTATCAAAGAATAAGTGAAAAGGCAATGTATCTTTGAGATAATTATAGAAATCAATAGAACCATCAAAGGGTAGAAAAATACAAATGTGGTAATTCCTATTATATTCTCACGTGTACAGTGTACTTCCAGGTGATTGATGGGAAAGATTGGTAGGTCATGGAGAATGGCAATGGTCTGCAGTGAAACCTAATCTTGAGATGACCAGGATTAAAGCTGCTATTGCTGACATGGTCTCTATTGAAACAAATTAATACAGCTTCTGACATTCTGTATGTAAGTCTTCATCTACTTCATGTTTTATCCAGTTTGGTTTGTATAGTTAACCAGCCGTTGTTTGCTTTTACCTGACAGGGACAGAAATACAAATCTGACCCAATATTTGTTACATGAGGATATTTAATGCCTCCCCAAATAATGAGCTGTCACATTAGTTCACTACACTGATACAGAGCAACAAATCCCGGATACCCCAGGATATAGGCATGCCAAAAGCTGGGATCTGAATCTCATGGAAATAGAGTAACTTGACTTCTTGGTGAAATTCTGAGGGATTCAGGGGTCTAGGACATATTGAGATAGCCCCTTCCATGGTCAGGACAAACTGCTGCACCTAACCCTTCTATAACCAGGAAAGGCACAACACCTTGTGCTACCCTGGAGTTTTCAAGACAATAGCATACAGGTGTTTCCCTGAGAACCTGGGCCTCCCACATGCTGAGCTACATCCTCAGCCACATATAGGTGTTTTTATTCATTTACCAGTGGACCCAAAAAGCTGGCAGAGTAAATCATCCCTTTATGTAACCTGGCAGTCCAAGCCGCTTTGTTACTCAGCTCTCTCCAGGTATCTGGTATTTACTGAAGTTAGAGATAAACCTGTAGGGGATTCAAGGGAAGCCCACAGGATTTGGGAGTAGGGCCATACTTGCTTCAAAATTACTATTTTTAAAAAATATTTTTCCCTTAGTTGTTGATAGATCTTTATTTTATTTATTTATACGTGGTGCTGAGAATCCAACCCAGTGCCTCACACCTGCAAGGCAAGTGTGCTACCACTGAGCCACAGTCCCAGCCCAAGATTACTATTCTTTTTGAGAAAAAATGCCAATTCACTACTGGGGATGTTGGAGATGATGGGATACCAGGTGCTCTCTAATTCAGTTGCTTAGAGTCAACCATTTCCAGTAGCACTCCATCACTTGACTGATAGACAGGACCACAAAGGCACATTTAGTGTCAGCAGGTTCTGCCCACTCTGTCCATGCCTTTGACTCCCCTATACCTATACCTTTGCCATTGTGGTGAGTTACTGTCCAATTAACTGAAAATTAAAAAGGCAAGCCTGGCTTGTAGGCATTAGACAGTGTGTAGGACCAACTACAAGTATATTATATTATTGTGTATCACAGTCCCCTTCGAGTCCTTGTCTTAAAGGACAACAGAGGACAAACATCCCAGGATTTTAAGTAATACTTTTTTTTTTTTTTTGTACTGGGACTTGAATCCAGGGACATTTTACCACTGAGTCAGCTATTTTTTTTTTTTTAATTTTGATACAGGGTATCTTAAGTTCCTTAGGGCCTTGTTAAATTGCTGAGGCTGGCCTCAAATGTAAATCCTCCTGCCTCAGCCTCCCGAGTTGCTAGAATTACAGACATGTACCACCATACCCTGCTCTTAGCAATATCTTTTATCTGTACGTTGACTTGAAGGAAACAAGACCTGAGGTCAGGATCTATAATCACTTGCTAGTCAGAGACTTGAAGAAAGCAACATTGAAGATTACTATAAAAGTTTGGGAAGCACTTAAAAAATGAACCTTCAGAATTAAACCTATCATCCTATAACTCAGCCAGGTACTTACTGAGACCACCTCGGGAGAGCAAACCCTCTCAGTATCTGCTTCTGGGGGTCCCCAACATAAACACTAAGCCCAGTGGTGAAGGGACAGCAGGTTCATTTCACTGGACATCTTCCATTTGGAAGGGAGTGGTGATCTGTTTCCATGAAAATAGGTGCTTATTCTGAATTTAGATCTATGAAATTTCCTTATCATGTGTTGGCCAAGATCAGCATTTATGGGCTAACCATGCCTGCTGCATTGTCATAGCCACAGGACAGTGCCCTTGGCCACAAAACATACTTCACAGATAAAAGGCAGTTGTTGAGTCCTGCCCTGCTCATGTTGGAGGCATGCCCTAGGACCTCCCAGACGTCTTTCTCGTTTCTCCCTCTGCTGCTCATGATGTGATGATGCTAGCCTCTTTCCATTCTTCAAAATGCCGGGTTCAGTCTTGTCCTGGGGGCTTTGTCCTTGCTTTTCTTTCTGCCTGGCCTAGTAACATTTGTGTTGCTCCCTCTTTTCTATTATTGATGTCTCACTTTACAGTTACACCTCCTCAGCAGGATATTCTGTGTCTATTTAGTCTAAAGCAGCCCCTGTTCTTATTTATATAAATTTCTTTTTAAATTTTTTTTTAGGAGGAAAAAAAACCAAGAGTACCTGGGAATATCTGTGTATTCAACATTTACTGAACACTAGTCACTATCCACTATATACACCATAGAAATAGACAATGAAGTAGAGAAGTATTGATCAAATGTAATCATTTTATTAGAGGTGAGATAATGACTAGAATGAAACAACAACAGCACTTAACAGCAAATTCTGAAACTTCAGAAAGTAAAAGCTCTTTGGGGAATAATATTAAAGCATGCAGATAGTTATAGGAAATGTAAAGTTACATTGCCAGTTTTTGTAGGAGAAAAAAAAAACACTAATTACCATGTTGGCATGTTTTATTTCCCAAAAGATTGGTGACCTCCATACCTTCATCTTGCTCCAAGTCATACTTCTGTGTATAGAGAAGTCCTATTTATGATGCTGTTCTCTAACACAACTTAATCAGGCACTGGTACCAAGTGACTGTGAGTATGAAATGCAGTTACATCCAAAGTGGGCCGTAATCCAACTATATCTGTCAGCTCTGGCTCCAGGAAGGTGATGTCTGTGTGTGTTACTAAGATTTATGAATATAAAGGAAATACAGGAATGGACACGTGGTGGTAGATTTTTTTTTTTTAATCCTTTGGAAAGAACAGTCCTCCTGTCCTGAAGAGGAGATAGGCAGGGGCTACTATGTTGTACATTTCTCAGAGAGTATGATGTGAATGGTCTCCTGGAGTAGGACACCATGCTAGTTCTGGGTTACCCCTCCACTGGCTGTGTCGGCTGTGTCAGAGGACTCCTGGCTCCTGGAAAGCATGTGCAGGATTTCTGTTCATGCTTGCC